GAACAACATGAGAGAAAAATAATTAAAGCAAGGTGTACCGTCGAGATCAAGATCATGACGACCAAGAATATTAGCACCACTAGTGCAAGCGCTAGTGAAAGCAAACAGGAAGACCAAAAGGGAAAAAAAAAGCAAAGAAAACAAGAAGGAGGAGGCATGGGAGCAATCCGAAATATCTCGGATTGACCCCCATAAAACAAATGGAGTTAAAAAAGACTCCATGTGAAAAATAGGCTTCTGGAAAAAAATCGAAGTATGAGGGGACACTGTGTGAGAGAAATAGAAGTAAAAGGAGGCTTCTATGGGCATGTCGGGGCCACAGTTGCAGTACGAGATATAACGGACTGCATTATAGGCATAGGGAGGGCACAAACTAAGAGGAAGGGCCTAGAAAAGACCTTAATGGCTACTTGACACTTGAAATGCTAGAAAAAGAAAGAAAGAAAAAAGAGAAAGGTGAGAGAATAAGACAAAGTGAGTGAGACGGAGTGAGTGTAAATGGACGCAACAGCAAATGCGCAAAGCCTCGAGGGCAATACAGAGTGAGTGAGAAACGAAGATCGGAAAAACGAAGATGAGTACTGATAGCAACAACAGAGAGAGGTATCAAATACGAAAGGAGACAAAGTAAACAGAGATGTTCACCGAGCAGGAGAGGAATTGGAACGAAAAAGAAAGAGAGAAGGACCAGAGGTGGCCAGAGAAAGTCATAGACAGGTAGACGCAAAAATCAGGCACTCTTGTTCAAAAATACGTGAGAGTACAAAGAGCACCAACTTGCGGTAGTCCAAACGCGTTTCGACCGTTCCGCCATAAACGGCCTCATCAGTGGACAGAAAAAAACGCCTACCTATCGCATACAACACCGTTCTTAAATAGCGAAATCATTTGAATCTTCACGAGACCATACCTAGCCAAAGACACCAAAGACAAACTACTAGACATTCACTGAGATAACAAAAAAAACGTTCCAAAGCCAACTAGGGTACAACAACCGCCTGGAGGTAGGCGAATGGGATAGTCCGGGGATTTGGGAAAGCCATCGGGGAGAGAAGAGAGAGAGAGAGAGAGAGAGAGAGAGAGAGAGAGAGAGAGAGAGAGAGAGAGAGAGAGAGAGAGAGAGAGAGAGAGAGAGAGAGA